GCCTCCCTATTTATTTAACCCTTGGTAGACTTGGCTCTGGGCTTGGCTTGGCCTTATGTCCAGCTGTTTGTTTAGGTGGATTGCGCTGTTTCGCCTTCCTCCCAGGAGAGCCTGGGTGGGGTCCAAAGGCAGGATATTGATCTGTTTTGTGTGTGCGCAGTGCCAGATTTACATATAAGCTAAACAAGCTATAGCCTAGGGCCCCACTCTCTTGGTGGTGGGGGGGGGCAGGAAACTGTATTAATTAGAATCATAGAATCATAGAGTTGGAAGAGACCACAAGGGCCATCGAGTCCAACCCCCTGCCAAGCAGGAAACACCATCAGAGCACTCCTGACATATGGTTGTCAAGCCTCTGCTTAATTGTATTTCAGTTCAACAATCACTTTGATAAAATACATATTTTGTGATGTGCAAATGGCTTTAGGTCCATCAATTAAATAATAATAATAATAATAATAATAATAATAATAATAATAATAATAATAATTTTTATTTATACCCCGCTCTTCCTGGCCACAGCCAGGCTCAGGGTGGCTAACACCAGTAAAATTACAATAAAAACATAATGGGGGGGGGCAATTTAAAATACAGGTTAAAGTACAATTTGAAAAGCAGACTCATTTTAATAATAGCCCATAGATCAAAACCATAAGGGGAGGGAAAGGGTCAGATTGAGTCCAAACCAAAGGCCAGGCTGAACAGCTGTCTTGCAGGCCCTGTGGAAAGATGTCAAGTCCCGCAGGGCCCTGATCTCTTGTGACAGAGCGTTCCACCAAGTCGGGGCCAGTGCTGAAAAGGCCCTGGCCCTAGCTGAGACCAATCTAACCACCTTGCGACTTGGGACTTCCAAAGTGTTGTCATTTGTGGCCCTTAAGGTCCTCTGCAGGGCATACGAGGAGAGGTGGTCCCGTAGTTACATTCAACACAAAAAACAGCGACCATTTGTTGTTGACAAAGGACAGCTGGACATATCAAGGGCCCCATTACCTTCAGGAGCTGAGGGCCTCATCAAACCGAAATCCAGCTCTGTGTGTGTGAGCAGACTGGAGCGGCAGGGACCTGAGATTGAGAGTCTCCTGCTCTACTGACTCAACTATCGCAGCAGCAGTAGCCAACCTGTTCTTCTGCCCGTAATGTGATTCGCTGCGTGCTGTGTGATCTTTAGCTGAATTTTTACAGATGGTTTCAGAACTTCTCACCTAGCAGTTCCTTTCGCAGTCTCCCCAGTTCCAGACCAGTTCAGAGCTTTGGTGAGCAGCTGCCCTCGTGTGGCTTTGGGTGGCGCTGCAGCTCCTCAGCCCCCCACGCTCCTCCTCATCGCTAAGTCACGGCACAAAGCAGAACAAGCGACAACCCTCGATATACGATATCTTTATTGTCATTGTCCCATACAGAACAATGAAATGGAAGATCTACATAAAACATTCCAAACCCCCTAAAAACTCCTAAACCCCATTTTATAATACAATATACTATAGAGACTGCGTTTAGAACCAGAATTGGATTTGGATAGAAACTGTTTCTCAGGCAGCTAGTCCTAGTCTTTATAACCCTGGACCTTCTTCCAGAAGGCAGAAGCTGAAAGAGATCGTTTCCGGGGTGAGCACTATCCTGCGCTATCTCTGCAGCTTTCTTATGGCACATGACAGCATAGATTTGATCCAAGGTGGGAAGAGTGCACCCTCCATGTTCTGCAAGCAGCCACTCTGCAGAAATGAGATTCCCAGTAACTGGTAACCAGAGGCATGCAGCCAGGGGCGTAGGAAAGGGGGAGCGGGGGGGGGGGCAACCCGGGTACCATCATGGAGGGGGGTGACAAATTATCAAGGAATATAATAATAATAATCTAATTTATTATTTATACCCCGCCCATCTGGCTGGGCTTCCCCAGCCACTCTGGGCGGCTTCCAACAAAACATTAAAATACGATAATCCATCAAACATTAAAGAGCTGCCTTCAGATGTCTTCAAAAAGTCTGGTAGTTTCTTTGACATCTGATGGGAGGGAGTTCCACAGGGCGGGTGCCACTACGGAGAAGGCCCTCTGCCTGGTTCCCTATAACCTCACTTTGTGCAGGGAGGGAACTGCCAGAAGGTCCTCAGAGCTGGACCTCAGTGTCTGGGCTGAACGATAGGGGTGGAGGTGCTCCTTCGGGTATACTGGGCCTTTGAGGCCGTTTAGGGCTTTAAAGCACCAACACTTTGAATTGTGCTTGGAATAATAATAATAATAATAATAATAATAATAATTTATTTATACCCCGCCCATCTGGCTGAGTTTCCCCAGCCACTCTGGGTGGCTCCCAATCAAGTGTTAAAAACAGTACAGTGTTTTTGCAGCGTACTGGGAGCCAGTGCATATCTCTCAGGACTGGTGTCATGTGGACTTGGCGGCTGCTCCCAGTCCCCAGTCTAGCTGCCGCATTCTGGATTAGTTGCACTTTCCAGGTCACTTTCAAAGGTGGCCCCACATAGAGAGCATTGCAGTAGTCAAAGCGGGAGATAACCAGGTTTCCCCAGCCACTTTGGGAAGCTTCCAGCAGAATATTAAAAACACAATAAAACATCAGACATTCAAAACTTCCCTAAACAGGGAACAGATGTCTTCTAAATGTCAGATAGTTGTTTATTTCCTTGACATCTGATGGGAGGGCATTCCACAGGGAGGGAGCCACCACCGAGAAGGCCCTCTGCTTGGTTCCTTGTATCTTGGCTTCTTGTAGCGAGGGAACTGCCAGAAGGCCCTCAGCGCTGGACCTCAGTGTCCAGATGATGGGGGTGGAGACACTCCTTCAGGGATACTGGGCCGAGGCCATTTAGGGCTTTAAAGGTCAACACCAGCACTTTGAATTGTGCTCGGAAACGTACTGGGAGCCAATGTAGGTCCTTCAAGACCGGTGTTATATGGTCTCGGTGGCCGCTCCCAGTCACCAGTCTAGCTGCCGCATTCTGGATTAGTTGTAGTTTCCGGGTCACCTTCAAAGGTAGCCCCACGTAGAGTGCATTGCAGTAGTCCAAGCGGGAGATAACCAGAGCATGCACCACTCTGGAGAGACAATTTGTGAGCAGGGAGGGTCTCATCCTGCGTACCAGATGGAGCTCGTAGACAGCTGCCCTGGACACAGAATGGACCTGTGTCTCCATGGACAGCTGTGAGTCCAAAATGACTCCCAGGTTGCGCACCTGGTTCTTCAGGGGCACAGTTACCCCATTCAGGACCAATTACTGCCTTACTAGGGCGGTTCATAAAAAACTTTTTTTAAAAAAAAGCCTGCTCCAAAGGTCTTATCTTACTACACTAGGGATCTCTGAAATTTCATGCATATCAGTTAATATCTTGACCCTCCTCCACAAAAATAGATGTTTACTTGGCCGTTTTTCTGTCGTGAAGGCTGAAATTTCAATTCAGTGGAGCAGGGTCAAGATATTAACTGATATGCATGAAATGTCAGATATAGCTATATAATCCCTAGTTTAGTAAGATAAGACCTTTGGAGTAAGCATTTATTTGTTTATTTGTTTAAGAAAAAAAATTTATGAACTGCCCTACTGCCCTACCCTCCGCTGGGCTTCCCGGGTCCTGGAAAGTCGGCTTTTGTGAAGAAAATGAGACTAAGCTGAGTAGATAATACAGAGCATGGTGAAATCACAATAAATAAAACCTCCCCTTCAGTAGTTTCAAGCACTGCTACAGGTTCCACATAATATCTGCACTGCATTGTTTACTGGGACAGCACCTGCACTTTGGAACTCCCCGCCTATTGCAACAAAGCACGTGCCTTTGCTAGACTCTTTTCAGGCACCTGCTAAAAGCATTCTTCTTTAGGCAAGCATACCTAGATGCTTAGGAAGCTGAAGTAATTTTAATCTTAATATTTTAGCTTTTGTATGTTTTAAAGTAGGATTGTTAATTTTTCTTGATTTTACTGCTGTGGTGTGTTTTTGTTTTGGTAAACCACTTTGCAAGTTTTTTAAAAATAAATTTTATTGAACAAACAAACAAACAATAAATATAAATGAAATAACACAAGCCAAAACACAACCCATCCTGTAGATTTAAGTATCTGTCCATAGTCGCCTACTTGTTATCAGAGGCCCAGAATCCACATTCCTTTGTAAGAAAATATGAAATAACGTAAAACCAAATAAATAAATAAATAAATCATTTTTTGGGGGGGGGGGAGTGACAAGAAATTTTCCGCACCGGGTACCACCTGACGTTGCTATGCCTCTGCATGCAGCCTCCCAGCCAGGCCTGAGGGGAAGGGGGTGCAACTCAGCCGGAGCTTTAATGAACTGAACAGAGCAAAAGGCTCTGAGTCCTGGGGGTGCAGAGACTGTGTGAATGAGCTTAGCTTCTATTGCTATTTTGTTAATGTTTTTAATGGGACGTGGGTGGCGCTGTGGGTAAAACCTCAGCGCCTAGGGCTTGCCGATCGAAAGGTTGGCGGTTCGAATCCCCGCGGCGGGGTGCGCGCCCATCGTTCGGTCCCAGCGCCTGCCAACCTAGCAGTTCGAAAGCACCTTCGGGTGCAAGTAGATAAATAGGGACTGCTTACTAGCGGGAAGGTAAACGGCGTTCCGTGTGCTGCGCTGGCTTGCCAGATGCAGCTTGTCACGCTGGCCACGTGACCCGGAAGTGTCTGCGGACAGCGCTGGCTCCCGGCCTATTGAGTGAGATGAGCGCACAACCCTAGAGTCTGGCAAGACTGGCCCGTACGGGCAGGGGTACCTTTACCTTTACCTTACAGATTCTAAATGCTGCACTGATTTGTTAATCACACGACTTGCCATGATTGTGAGGTTTAGCTTATTTTTTAGAAGAAGAAGAAGAGTTTGGATTTGATATCCCGCCTTTCACTCCCTTTAAGGAGTCTCAAAGTGGCTAACATTCTCCTTTCCCTTCCTCCCCCACAACAAACACTCTGTGAGGTGAGTGGGGCTGAGAGACTTCAGAGAAGTGTGACTGGCCCAAGGTCACCCAGCAGCTGCATGTGGAGGAGCGGAGATGCGAACCCGGTTCCCCAGATTATGAGACTACCGCTCTTAACCACTATACCACACTGGCTCTTTAGTTGCTGTTTCGTTAAGTGCCTGAGAATACCTTCTTTATCCTGAGCAAACCATTTTGTACGACTGGCTTTTCGGACTGGTGAAGCGTGTGGCAAAACCTGTAATATATCTGGAGAACAACAGGTCTCCTTTTGCCCACTTGCGTTATTCTCACCAGGGCAGTGGCTTTGATTTGCCTTCCCGTAACTGATCCATGCACAAGACTTTGGGTTTCCAACTCAAGACCCATTGAAGAACATCTCGTCCAGTTCAACCTTTGAAAAACATCTTTGAAAAACTTTTTCAGATTCTCCGGTGTGCTACCCTTGCCGTTGTGGCGTCATGGGGTTGCCGTTCTGCGATTGGACTTACACTACTTGTTGAACGGTTCATCCATCCAGTCTGTATAACGTTTATTGCACATGTATCTTCTTAAGATACAGTTGTGCATTTATCCACTCCATGTTTACAGTATCTCCAGGCTTTGTTTTGCACGTGGCACCTTAGCATGTTTGATGTTTGAATGGTTACAAGTCTATCTCTATTGTAGCTATTATTCTAGTAAATTTGGTTTTATACTTATAAGCCAGTTCATGGTGGTGTTTTGTTGTATTATTATTACTGTCACCACATTTGATACTTTGGGTATATACTGTTCCTTATGCTCAGCCCATTAAGCTTCTCGAATGGCATTCCCAGCCTCTTGGCTTCTGTCTAGGCTGCCCTTGACAAAGATGCCTTCAGAGAAGCTTGGACAGAAGCCAAGAGGAGGAGAGACATTCCTCGGGGGCCAGAGGCACCCTGGCTGCCCCACCCCTCAGCCCCCTTCCCCACAGGGCTCCCTCCCTCTACCTGAGCTGCTTCCACAGCCGTTGCTTCTCCTTCACCACCAGGAATAGATGGAAGAGGAGGTCTTGCTGGCATCATCTGGTCACCTGCAAGAGACAAAAGTAAGTGGGAAGCCAGGAGTGCAGCTGCTCTCCAAAAAGTCTCACCTTCTGAGTGCATCTGGACATTTGGACCCATTTCATAATTTAGTTGGGTTAAAAAATACATCTCCCTCCTTGGTGCTCCTGGCCCCAAGTGTCTCCCCCCCAAAAAAAAAGAGAGGAAAAGAACCCATGGATTCGTTTTGATATCCACAGGAAGGGACCAAATGGAGAACGGACTCCTTCCTTACCCAGCAGCCTCTCTCTGGTGTCCAGCGGAGTCCTTTTGGTCTCAGAGGAATCCGTGCCCATTTCTGCAAACAGATCCTGTCTCTAAAATAGCAACGAAGATTCAAAACAGAGAATATGAAGAAGAGTTAGAAAAGGAATGACAGAGGCAAAAACTGAAGGGCAATCTGATAACATTCAATGGCTGCTTTCCAAAAAAGGATGGAGAGTTTTCAGATACCCTCACTCACGTTCGGAGCCCCTTTGGAGTATCCAGAGGAAAGTCTCTCTCACCTGCTGCTCTGCCTGCTTCCTCTCCTCTGCCTGACTCAGGAGGAAACCTTCGGCCAGGGCCAGTGGCTGGGTACTGGGTACTCAGCTCCACATTCCCTCACCCAGCTCTCCATCTCCGGTGGAAGGACAGCCAGGAACTGCTCCAAGATCACCAGGTCCAGCATCTCAGCTTTTGTGTGCCTTTCTGGCTTCAGCCATTGATGGTAAAGGTGGTGGAGTCGGCTGCAAACCTCTTGAGGTCCTTTGGCCTCCTGGAAGCAGAATTGCATGAACTGCTGGCTCTGAGCCTCTGAGCGGAGAGTGTCCTCCTCACCCAGGATCTTCTGCTCAGGTGCCCATGTCCAGCTCAGGCTACTTCCCCACCCCACAGACGTTTTGGGACAGAGAGGACATGGCCCTGGTCCTTCCTGCTCTGTATCAGATGGGATGGTTGCAATGCTCTCTGTGTGAAACTGCCCTTGAAGGCGACTCAGGAACTGGTCCAAAACACAGCAGCCAGGTGATTGGCTGGGCTGCCTCTCTTTATGAATGGCATTTCTCTCCCACCTCCTTGTCCAAGGAGATCAAGGTGGCATCCATGGGTCTGCCCCTCCCCACTGAGTCCCCCCACAACAAACACATTGGATTCCTCTTTTAAAACAGTTGCACTGGTTGCACTTCCGGAGGCGGCGCGAAACCGTGATGGCGGTCCTCTTCGAGCTGTGAAGAGGGGCACCGCAGAAAAGGGTTGGTTCGCTACGGCGCAGCGGCAACCCATCAAGTTAAACCACGGGTAGAGTGAGCCCGTGGCCGTGGGACTCGGCGGGCACCTGGAGCGACCCCGAATTCGCGGAAGGAACCCCGTAAGGGGCTCCGGAGTGAAGGAGGGGGAGCGGTGCTGTGAGTTCATCGCTCTTTCTGCGGAGGCGAAGCCGCGAGGCTGTCACGGATGAGCGCTGACCTTTCTTCCTGAATACATCTGGTGGAAACTACGAACCCGTGAGTAAGGACTTGAAATTTGGCGGAATAAATTTTTAAAATTTGGCTGAAACCGGGAGACGAGAAAAAGGAAGTCCGTCTTCCGGCGCTGCTTATAAGATCAAAGCGAAGGACATGAGGAGCGGAAAGCGTTGTGAATAGGGAAGTGCTAAAGTGGGACTTTCGTGCACTTTTGAACTTACTTTTAAAGAAGAAATGCAGAATTATCAGTAAGTAAACTTTCAAAATTAAACTGGAGCGGTCTCCTCGTTTAGGAGCCACTGAGATTTTAACTCCAAATCGTCGGGCTGCCGGGGGGAAGCTGCTTAACTGCGGAATGGTTGTAAAACTTCCAGATACTATCGGATACTAAAGTGACACTTTTGAGCCTAACTAGTGGGACTGGATATTGTTGCAGGCACCTAGTTGGAACTTTGTTAAAGTTTGAAAGTGCTCTGCAGGACTCTTTTATTTAGTGCTTTGGGACTATGTGCTTTTAAAATTGGAACAATAGGGATTTTAAATGGCGGAAAATCCTCCTTCTTCTTACTGAATTTTGGTGGCACTCCCCCTAGAGGATATTGAAATTACAAAGGCCTGGGAACAGCTTTATTTGTTTACCTTCTCTCACTGGATTGTTTTTAAACTGGACTTGCCTTTCCCATGGGACTACAGTATTTGACCTTGAACATTGACTGATGAGTGGCACGGGAAAGACAAGAGCAGCCAAAGCTAAGGAAGCTAAGGAAAAAGAAAAAGAGAAAAAGCAGACACAGCTTGTACAAACAACTTTGACTCAGGGACGCAGATCATCGGTTGCAGCTGTGCTTGGGTCACAAAAAGGAGAAGTTGAAAAGCCTAAAAAATCTGAAGAGGAGGATATGGCATCAGGAAGATCTGAGGCAGTCCTGAAACAAATATTGGAACAACTGTCAGCTCTAAATCAAAAGGTAGATAACCAATCAATAAAAATTGACCAAGCTACATCCTCGATCCAGAAATTGACGGATCAGGTTTCCCAACACACACAAGCAATTGAAAAATTGCAAGGAGCAACAGAGGAGAATCGGAAATTGGCTGGGGAAGCCATTCAAATAGCAACGTCTGCCAAGAAAGAGGTCGAGGAAGTTAAAGCAGAAGTTAAGCCTCTGCATAAACAGATTGGGGACCAGCAAGCCTATCTCTCTTTGGTGGAACTGAAAAATCGTGAGACCAATCTTAGATTGAGAGCAATTCCAGAAATTGAGCAAGAAAGCCTGATTGGATTTTTGACAACAGAATTTTCAAAGTTCTGGGGCATAAAGGAAGAAAGCGATTTTAAAATAGTATCGGCTTTTCGACTGGGAAGATTGGTAAGAAAGGACAGATCCAGGGACTGTTTGATAGCCTTAAGATCAAGAGAAGAGAGAGACAAAATACTAGGCCTACACTTTAAAAATTCACTGGAGATACAAAACAAAAGGGTGGAAATTTACAGAGATATACCCAAACAGCTACTGGACTTGAGAGCCACCTACTCAGAATTGGCAAAGTTGTTGAGGCTCAACGCAATCCCTTATAGGTGGGAGTTTCCACAAGGCCTATCATTTACCTACAAACAGAAGAAGGTTAAAATAAGAACCCCAGAGGATCTACAAAAGTTTCAGCACGACCACGGTGAAGATCTCCAAAAAGAAGCAGCAGCACATTGGCCTCTACCTCAATCTGGGCCTATACTGCCTGGAGGAGGAGCAACGCCTACACCCTCGGGACCAGAGGACAAAGAAGATACACCACTCTAGCTGTAACAAAATAGTACAGGATGTCTCTGCTGCTACTCAGCTGGAATATAAATGGCGGAAATTCCCCGGAGAAAAGAAGGAAGATATTTCACATATTGAAGAAAGAACAATTGGATATCATTTGCCTACAAGAAACTCATGTGACCAGACTCCACAGGAAAGTTTTGATCAACAAAAGATTAGGCCAAGAATTTATCTCATCAGATAAGGTTAAGAAAAGAGGTGTGGTGATCTATGCTAAGGAGAGCCTGGCACCAAAATTCCTATTTAAGGATGAACAAGGAAGAATTTTGGCGATTGAAATCCAGACACAAGGAGAAAAAATTTTGATATTAGGAATATATGCCCCAAACGACGGGAAATCAGAATTTTTCAAGAAGCTGCATGAGATTTTGCTGGACTACATGGACTATAATAATATTATAATGATGGGAGATATGAATGGAGTGGTGTCTACACACATGGACAAGTCTCAAAGCCAAAACTTAACATCAGACGGCAGACTGCCTAAAACCTTTTTTGAACTGACTGATAACTTGGACTTGATTGACATATGGAGGACAAAGAACCCCCTAGGTAAATGTCCGCCTTTTTTTTTCTGTAATCCACCACCAATTCCCCTGGGAGCTTAACCTCTTCTTTGCTCGCTTCGAGAAGGAGCCACCTGAGACGCCGGTATTACAGCCACCAGCCCATAGGGGCCCCTCATTCACGGTAGAGGAACATGAGGTGAGACAGGTATTGAGGATGGCGAATCCGAGGAAGGCGGCTGGACCTGATGGCATCACTGGAAAGGTGTTGAAGGGCTGTGCGGATCAGCTGGCGAGGGTCTTTACTAAGATCTTCAATAAGTCCTTACACCAGTCTATTGTCCCACCCTGCCTGAAGTCGTCAACTATTGTCCCTCTGCCTAAAAAATCCACAATCAGTAGTTTGAATGACTACAGACCAGTTGCACTGACTCCAATCATCATGAAGTGTTTTGAGAAACTGGTGCGCCGTCACATTATTTCCTGTCTTCCATCAACTTTTGACAACTACCAGTTTGCATACAGAGCAAATAGATCCACAGAAGACGCCATCAATACCACTCTCCATGCTGCTCTGTCCCATCTGGAGCAGCCGGGGAGTTATGTGAGGCTGCTGTTTGTGGATTTTAGCTCTGCTTTTAACACTATCCTCCCCCATAGACTGGTGTCCAAGCTAGAGGCGATTGGACTCTCCAACTCCACCTGTCTCTGGGTTTTGGATTTTTTGTCAGAACGTTCTCAGAGGGTTAGAGTAGGGTCACATATGTCCACAGCCCTTAGCCTTAACACCGGCTCACCACAGGGTTGTGTGTTGAGTCCCCTGCTCTATGCTCTCTATACGTATGACTGTACAGCCATCTATTCCAGCAACAAAATCATCAAGTTTGCTGATGACACTACGGTGGTAGGGCTCATTTCAGGAGGGGATGAGTCCGCCTATCGGGACGAGGTGGAGCGGCTCTGTGTTTGGTGTGGAGAGAACAATCTGGCTCTTAATACGGCTAAGACCAAGGAATTGGTGGTGGATTACAGGAAAAAAAAGGCGGACATTCAGCCCTTGTATATCAACGGGGAACGGGTGGAGAGGGTGGCGGAATTCAGGTTTTTGGGAGTAACTATCGATCAGGGCATGACTTGGAGCGCACATACCACTGCTCTGGTGAAGAAGGCCCAGCAGAGAATTTATTTCCTCAGACTTTTAAAGAAGAACAATCTGAGTGAGAGACTGCTGGTGTCCTTCTACCGAGGCTCCATAGAGAGCATTCTTACATACTGTATTTGTGCTTGGTTCTCCAGTTGTACAGCTAGGGAGAGGAAGGTGCTCCAGAAGGTCATAACCACAGCCCAAAGGATTATTGGTCATCCTCTCCCATCTTTGGAAGAACTGTACGGTTCCCGTTGTCTTAGGAAAGCAAATAACATCCTGCAGGATTCATCTCACCCGGGACACAGTCTGTTTGCACTACTGCCTTCTGGCAGGAGATATAGAAACATCAAGTCAAAGACAAATAGACTGAAAAACAGTTTCTATCCAAGAGCTGTGGCCTTTTTGAATGCTGTAACTCGATAGTGTGACCTGGGAGTTTGATGGGTGTTGGTGTGGGTGTGGCTGGAATGTGGTTTGTTTGGTTGTTGTTGTTGTTTTGCTTTTGTTGTTTTAAGGGATGGCATCCAATTTCGTTGCACTTTGTGCAATGTTGCACTTGTGTAATGACAATAAAGAATCTATTCTATTCTATTCTATTCTATTCTATTCTAGGTAAAGAAGGAACTTTCTTCTCTGAGGCCCACCTGTCTTGGACACGGATCGACCAAATCTGGACGTCTAGAGGGCTGGCACCTAAGACCAGAAAGGTGGAAATCTGCCCAAAAACATGCTCCGACCACAACGCCTTGAAAGTAGAACTCAGACTAACTCAACCCGGTTCCTTCAGATGGAGAATGAATGACACCTTACTAAGAGATCAAGAGATTGTGAAAAAGGCCCAAAAAACGTTAAAGGATTATTTCGAGATAAATTTGAATACCACAGTAGAAAAAAGAACGATCTGGGACGCAAGTAAAGCCGTTATGAGAGGGTTTCTGATTCAACAAAATACAATTAAGAAAAAGCTCTGGAATGGAAAGAAGGATAAAATATTGGAGAAAATACATCAAGGAGAGAAAAAATTGAGAACCAAACCAAAGTCAAAGGAGGTGCTGAGAGAAATCAAATTCCATCAAGTACAATATTCTAAACTGATAAATCAAGAGATTGAATGGAAAATTAAACAGATGAAACAAAGATCATTTGAATCAGCAAATAAGTGTGGAAAGCTGCTTGCTTGGCAGCTGAAGAAAAGACAGAAGTTAAATACAGTTACAAATCTAGAGATTGATGGAAAAACGGTGCAGAAACCAGAAGAAATTAGGAAGTGCTTCCACAGATATTTTAAAGAACTCTACGCACAAGGGCCTCAGAAAGAACCTGAGATAGACCAATTTTTAAAGACAAATGGACTATCAAAGATAACTCAAGACAAAAGATCAATCCTGAACTCAACAATAACCTTACAGGAAATCGAAGGTGCCATTCAGAATATGCAACTAGGCAAATCTCCAGGCCCGGATGGACTTACCTCCAAATATTATAAGACTTTGAAGGACTATTTGATACAACCTCTGTTAGAGGTATGTAACCAGATTATGGAGGGGAAGAAGACACCGGAGTCGTGGAAAGAAGCCTTCATCACATTGATTCCGAAGGTGGAAACTGAAAAGAACCAACTTAAGAACTACCGTCCCATCTCACTCTTAAATGTGGATTACAAAATATTCGCAGACATTTTGGCAAGCAGACTTAAAAAGGTCTTAAATGAAGTAATTCATAAAGACCAAGCTGGCTTTCTCCCTGGTAGACATTTATATGAGAATACCAGGAACATCATTGACATTTTGGAGCTTTTGCAAACCAACAGGAACACAAGGGCGGTGTTAATTTTTATTGATGCGGAGAAAGCATTTGACAACATATCTTGGTTGTTTATGAAGAAAAACTTGGAAGGGATGGGAGTGGGACGGGGGTTTGAAAATGGAATACAAGCAATTTATTCTGAGCAGAAAGCCAAACTAATAGTGAACAATGTGGTGTCGGAGGAATTTAAAATTGAAAAAGGGACACGACAGGGGTGTCCTCTATCCCCTCTTTTATTCATCTCAGTCCTGGAGGTGCTATTGAACATGATAAGGGAGGACCGGAGGGTACAAGGGATAGAGGTCGGAGTGAAACAATACAAACTGAAAGCTTTTGCAGACGATTTAGTTTTGACACTGCAGGAGCCAGAACCTAGTACAAAAAGAGTTCTTGAACTTATATCTGAGTTTGGTCGGGTGGCGGGGTTTAAACTGAACAAACAAAAAACTAAGGTTTTGACTAAGAATTTGACACTCACAGAAACAGAGGGATTTCAGAGAGAAACAGAATTAAATGTGGTCAAAAAAGTGAAATACCTAGGGATTTATTTGTCTTCCAAAAACTTGAATTTATTTAAAGATAATTATGAGAAATGCTGGTTGGAAGTTAAAAAAGATCTAGAAATTTGGTCAAGATTGAAACTTTCCTTGTTGGGAAGAATTGCTGCTATAAAAATGAATGTATTGCCGAAAATGCTGTTTTTGTTTCAAACCTTGCAGATCGTGGACAGAGTGGAATGTTTTGGAAAGTGGCAGAATGACATATCTAGGTTTGTCTGGCAGGGCAAAAAGCCCCGAATAAAGTTCAAAATACTAACTGATTCGAAAGAAAGAGGGGGGTTTGCCCTGCCGGACTTAAGGTTGTACTATGAAGCTGCAGCCTTCTGCTGGCTGAAAGATTGGTTTTTGTTGGAAAATACTGATGTCCTAGATCTGGAAGGTTTTGATAATGCTTTTGGTTGGCATGCATATCTATGGTATGACAAGGCTAAAGTTCATAAATTGTTCAAAAACCACATTGTCAGAAAAGCAATTTTTGCAGTCTGGACGAAATACAAAGACTTATTAGAGAGCAAAACACCGAGGTGGCTATCACCGGTGGAGGCCAAGGCTCGAAAAAGACTCAATATGGAGGCCTACTGGCCGAAATATTGGGAACTAATCGAAAAAATTGGAGACAATTGGAAGTTGCAGAGCCAGGACAAATTAAAAAACAAGGTGCGAGATTGGTTACATTATGCTCAAATTCAAGAGGTTTTTAAAATGGATAAAAAAGTTGGCTTCCAGGTGGAAAAATCGAAACTAGAGACAGAATTGCTAGAACCAAAGACCAAGACTTTATCGAGAATGTATAACTTGCTGCTTAAATGGAATACACAGGATGAGGTAGTTAAATCTGCCATGATAAAATGGGCACAGGATGTTGGACACAACATTATGTTTGAAGACTGGGAAAGGTTGTGGAACACCGGAATGAAATTCACGGCATGTAGTGCCCTGAAGGAAAACATTATGAAAATGGTATACCGGTGGTACATGACCCCAGTCAAGCTAGCTAAAATATATCACCTGTCTGACAACAAATGTTGGAAATGTAAGGAGGCAGAAGGGACATTTTTCCATCTCTGGTGGACCTGCCCAAAAGTGAAGGCCTTCTGGGAAATGATACATAACGAATTGAAAAAGGTATTTAGGTATACCTTTCCTAAGAAACCAGAGGCCTTCCTGCTGGGTATGGTGGACCAGAAAATGTCAAAGAAGGATAGAACCTTGTTTATGTATGCTAGCACGGCAGCAAGAATACTCATCGCAAAGAGCTGGAAGACACAAGATTTGCCCACGCTGGAGGAATGGCAGACGCAGTTGATGGACTACATGGAAATAGCTGAACTGACCGGCAGAATCCGAGATTTGGATGAAGAAACAATTGAGGTGGACTGGAGAAAATTTAAAGACTATTTGCAAAAACATTATAAGCTGTATGAATCTTAAGTTAGTGCACGACTGGGAAATGCTATGCTTTGGCAAATATGATTAAGTAAATGCCAGAATAAGTGATAAAAGAGAAAAGGAGACAATTTGAATTGAACATGTTATGTTTATTTTAAAAGTATTGAAATTAAGATACAATATATTGAATTTGGATGCATAACAATTGAAAGCTACAATAAGGTATGAAACAAGGTAACAAATTGCTGACATTATTAAATTTAAAGAACGCAGTTCCGGAGGGTGTGGGGAAGTCCAAACAGGGAATGGTTTATATATTTCTTTCTTGGTTTTTATTTTGTTTCAGTTGAAAAAGAAAAGAAAAATTGTTTCTTGTTTTTAATGCACTTGTGTTGTTTGGACTGTACAAATTATGGAAAGAAACGCAATAAAAAAATTTATAAAAATAAAAAAAAATAAAACAGTTGCACTGGTTGTTTCCTTTCCAGCAGGACCTCTCCTGCTCTGGATGTCCTGGCTTGTGAGACCTCCAGTGGTGCTTTCATGGAACTATAGAGGTGGATGGCATCCCAAGGATCATCTAGTCCACCCCCAGCAATCTCAGAGGCCAGACTTGCATCTGGAGGAACTGAGCACTGGAGGAGAAAATGAGCCCTGCAGGATCAGGCCAGAGGGGCCCCTCTTGAATCCAGGCTCCTGTTCCCACAGGGGCCAACCAGGGGCCCCTCGTGGGAAGCCCACCAGCAGGACTGGAGCACCAGAGCCACTTTCTCTGTCTCCTATGAGGGAGACAGAGCAGAGAAGCCCCCCATTGCCCTCTCCTCCTCCTCCTCCACGGATTGGCCTCCTCCTCTTTTAACGCCACCTTGATTGGTGGCCTCCCTGCCTCTTGTGGGAGGGAGTTCCACGGGTTTTACTCTGCCCTGCAAGAGGAAGCGCTTTCTCTTCTCTGCCTTCCTTCCTTCTTCTTTCACAGGTGAGGTTTTAGGGACCAGGGTATATTTCATGTCCGAATGTTTCCATCTGCGGAGGACCTCTGTTATACAAGGGGACTGATCCATACATCCGAATCCGGTTTATTTGCATGCATTTCCCCACTCCTGGACCCCAGACCCCTCCCCAAGGGGCCAGCAGCGCATCCATGCAAAGGAAGAGCAGAGCTGCCGCCCTCCTGCGCCCCTCCGCGCCCTGACTTGCCCCCTTCTCGCCATGCAGCGCTGGGACCCCCCGCTCTCCCCATGGGCCCTATCCTGGGAGAGAGGAGACTCACCGGATCCCAGCAGGCGCCCCCAGGCAGCCTCTGCAGAGCCGAACCAAGGGGACCCCCACACGCCCGACTTCTTGCAGGAAAGGGAGGGGTTGGGCTTTCACTCTGGAGGACCCTGCCCCCCCCGTCTTACTTTCCCGTCTAGGAATCCAGCTCGTTTCCGTTTAACCCTTGGCAAACCGAGCGCACCCAACTCACGCCTCTCCCTCTCTCGAGAGCCGGAGCATCGCGCACCAATGGCATCCCGAGAAGGCGGAGGAGGAGAGGTTTATGGTTTACTTCCGGCAAGGGATACATTCAGTTTTGGCCCCCTAACAGCTGGCCCCTGAACACGGGTCCTAAGAAATCTTCACTGGCTCCCGGTCCATTTCCGAGCACCATTCAAAGTGCTGGCGCTGACCTTGAAAGCCCTAAATGGTCTCAGCCCAGTAGAAGGGAAGGAGCGTCTCCACGTCCATGGTTCAGCCCGGACACTGAGGTCCAGCTCCGAGGGTCTTCTGGCAGGTCCCTCAGTGCGAGAAGTGAGGTTACTTCTCGGTTGTCGTGACTGCCCTGTGGAACGCCCTCCCACCAGATGTCAAGGAGATAAACCATCATACGACCTCCCTAGACGCCTGAAACGCCTCCCCCGCCCCGTGGATGTTGCAGGAAAGTAAATGAAAATCCCGATGGAGGACAAAGAGGTAAAGGGGTCGCGGGGGGGGGAGGAGAGGGGAGAAAAGTACCCAGAGACCCGTGACAGCTCCCCAAAGCGCCTTCCGTGGGCCCCGTCGGCAGTGATGCGAAGGGGGCTTTTCTCGGCCCCTTAGGCGCCTTGGCAGGGGCGGGCATGGGGCCCTCGCTCAGGGGGTACCCATGAGGACCCCATCGCTCCGTGTCTCCCGCGCAGGCATCCCCGGAGCGCTGGGGGCTCCGTGCAGAGAGAGGTGGGCCACGAAAGGGTTAACAGGCAGGAGGAATAGAGACGCCCCTGCCCCTCCCCTGCTTCTCTTGGGGGGGGCCTCCGCCGGAGAGATGGGGGCGCAGGGTGTGGGGTGAGCAGAGCCAAGGGAGCCTCTGGATGCAGGGTAGACTCAGGAGAGAGGGAGGGGGTCGAGGAAGTGGGGGAGAGGAAGGGGAGCATCCCTGGGGTAGGGAAGGACAGCATTGGGGGGGGGGAGATAGGAAGGACAGTCTGTGGGGGGGCGTCTCCATCGTGGCAGCTGCGGGGGATCTCTGGTAGGACCGCCTTGGCTTCTCCCTCCCGCCCGGGAATCGACCCCCCCCTTCAAGGCAACCAGAGGGATCCCTGGAAAGTGGGGGGGGGTCCTGTCCCCCCACCCTTCCTTCCTGTTAGCTCCATCCTCTTCCCACCCCATAAGCCCCTGCCCTGTCCAGACACAGTGCTTCTGCCCATGCCAACCACTGGTCCCCTGGAGAGGAGAGGAAATCCCCAGAGGAAGAGGGGAGGGGGGAGGCCTTCTCAGAAGCAGCTCTATGTTTCCACAATCCCACCCAGGAAGCAGCCAGAAACCTTTTCCTCTCTCTCAGGTTTCCATCTTTATTGTCTTTTCCACTGGCTGGTTCACTGAGGATGAGGATAATGTACACCTGTCATCAGAAACGGGTGCAGAGTCCATAAAATGGATCTCAGGGTTGATTTAGAAGCTGCACCTCAAAAGCATTTCTGTTCCTCTTATTCTTTGTAGGCAGTGTCAGAGTGACTGACAAGCTGAGATACAACCCATCATCATCCGATGACAGTGACTGCATGAATCTTCCCAGTCAAAGGACCCATTTTCATGATAGACAGTGCCTGGGGCTGGAGGCTCTACACACCGGGTGTGCCTGTGCAGGCCAAAGACTGCCAGTATTAGCACAGGTGAGGTGTGTGACCTTCCCAAATTTACAGAATGTATGTGAATGAGATTTCCTGGGTGGGATTATAGTTTACGGCAACCCTGTGATTTTCTCCACCCATAACATGTTATGAGCTGATATTGCAGTACGAGCTCCAAAATAACTTTTAAAAACCCCACAAGATCATCATCATCATCGTATTTATACGCCCGGGCCTTAGTTTGCCTCCCCATGATCTAGAGAAAACACCAGCTTTGAATCATACAGAGTAAAACTACCAGAACCTTCTTGAACAAATAGGTTAGGAATTATCGCTATACAGTGGTGCCCCGCAAGACGAATGCCTCGCAAGACGGAAAACCCGCTAGACGAAAGGGTTTTCCGTTTTGGAGGTGCTTCGCAAAACGAATTTCCTATGGGCTTGCTTCGCAAGACAAAAATGTCTTGCAAGTTCCTGCAGGGTTCCCCCCCCCCTTTTCCCAAGCCGCTAAGCCACTTATCAGCTGATCCGCTAAGCCGCTTTATAGCTGATCTGCTAAGCTGCTTATCAGCTGATCCACTAAGCCGCTAAGCCGCTAATAGCGCTAATCCATTAAGCCGCTAATGGGCTTGCTTCGCAAGACGAAAAAACCGCAAGACGAAGAGACTCGCGGAACAGGATTCTTTTCGTCTTGCGAGGCACCACTGTACATTACATCTGTACTTTTCTATGCCTGAGAAATGCAACCATGACACTGGGAATGTTCAGGGATGCAGGAGAGGAAATATTGTTTGATTATATCCTTTCCAACTTGTGCTAACAAGTTGTACAATTTAGCAGAGTAACATTCACCCTTTTAAACTTACAGCGGATGCATTTGCTCAGGCTCGCTAAAGCCTCTACAATAAGTTTCCTTGGTAATTTCCCCTTTAGTCCCTCATAAAAGGATAAGACATGACACAGTCTTCTATAAAAGTATAAAAAGAGTTTACTCACACATTCTGTTCACAAATGGATCCCAGAAGGCAGACTTAGGTTACAAAAGTTACAAACACCTGGAAACTATCCCATAAGGAGACAGCCCAAGAAAGCATCTTAGGCTAAGCAGATGTTGCTTCTTTGACTAATGTAATCAGAGAAAGATGCCTGACCAGTCCTGCTCTTTTGTTACCTGGGCAGGTGAGGTCGCACCCACTTCCAGTCACATGCAGAAGAAGTCTGTCCCAGCCTAGGAGAAATCGGAAGTTCCGACTGGCTGCTCCAGACATCCCCTTTTATTTCCACTCTAGGGATGTTGTACTTGACTGTTCTTGTGTTTCACATCCCACAGACACTTTAAAAGTCAGCACCAACAGTTTGAATTGTGCTCGGAAATGCACTGGGAGCCAGGGGAGATACTTTAGAAATAGTGTTATGTGGTCTTAGTGGCTGCTCCCAGTAATGAGTCTAGCTCCCCCATTCTGGATTAGTTGCAGTTTCAGAGTCACCTTCAAAGGTAGCCCCATGTAGAACAGCTGGCAGTACTCCAAGCAGGAGATAACCAGAGCATGCACCACTCTGGCCAGACAGTCTGCAGGCAGGGAGGGTCTCATCCTGCGTACCAGATGGAACTGGTAAACAGCTGCCCTGAGCACAGAATTGACCTGCGCCTCCATGGACAGCTGGGAGTCCAAAATGACCCCCAGGCTGCACACCTGGTCCTTCAGGGGCACAGTTATCCCATCAGGACCAGGAAGGCCCCCATTCTCCCCCAGGGACAGTACTTCTGTCTTCTCAGGATTGAACCTCAATGTGTTGGCCGCCATCCATCCTCCAACCACCTCCAGACAGCCACACAGGGCATTCACCATCTTCACTAGTTCCAATTTAAAAGAGAGGGAGAGCTGGGCATCATCCACATACTGGTGAACACCCAACCCAAACCCCCCTGATGATCTCTCCCAGTGGCTGCATATAGATAGTAAAAAGCATGGGGGAGAGAATGGAGCCCTGGGGCAGCCCACAAGTAAGCATCCAGAGGTCTGAACACCACTTTCTGGACATGGCCCAGGAGGAAGGTGTCGCGAATTCCTCGCGGCGCTTTTAAGCGAAGTGCTCAGAGTCCCAGGTTTCTTTTCAGTGCAGTCTTTTTAATGTGAGCTATATACAAGTATTTACAAGAGCAGTCCATACAGAGTACCTGCTCCTTTTGGCAAACGAATACTCTCCACCACAGCAGCACCACACCTCAGCACAACCACCACAACTTACTGTTGAACAGGCTTTCCTTTTAAAACAGGGGATAGCCAATCACATCCCTGCTGAGTCACTCTGACCCAGCACTTCACAGAGTATTGCATCAGCCTCTTGAAGCCTGCAGACTTACTCAACATCCTGCGAATCCCAACAGAAGGAGGGGAACCACTGCATAACAGGGCCCCCAGCTTCCCAAGATTGGTCCAGAAGGACACCATGGTCAAAGGTCTCCAAAGCCGCTGAGAGAACCAGGAAAGAGCTTCCCCCTCAGCCTCTGGCCCGTCAGGGATCATCAACCAGCACAACCAGGGCAATTTCAGTCCCATGATGAGGCCTGAATCCCCATTGGAAGGATCATGGCGGCAGGAGCTTTCCTGGTCCTGCACCCCCAAAACTTCCAGCCACAATACGTTTATTAGCTTTCAAGGGCCCACCTGATACACTGTGGTCTTTTCTTCGAAAAACAAATATTTTGAATACCGTACTTTTCGCCCCATAGGATGCAACAAGTTTTTTTGGGGGGGGGGAAATAAAGAAAAAAAATTATTTCCCCCCCAGGCGCTTGCGGGACAGGCAGCAGTGAGAAGCGTTCTTCTCCCCGTCGCCCGCCTGCAGACTAGGTCTGGGGACAGCGGGAAGACAAGCTGCACCTCCCCACTGTGCCCGGAGCTTGCGGGGCTGGCGGCGGGGAGAAGCACGCGTCTCCCCGCCGTCAGCCTCCAAACCACATTGGGAGACAGCGGGATGGCGGCGTTCCGCCTCCCCGCTGTCCCCCGACCTTGTGGGGCTGGCGCTGCGGCTCTCCTGAAGCCTGTTTGGCACCAGCTTGGCTGCAGGAGTTGAATGAAGAAGGTGTGCAGGACACCATCCAACTGTCTTAGAGACTCCACTCTGGATTTGTGTAGGTTTTCCTCCAGATCCTTTTCTTCTCCTGAACATAACTCACGAGGCAGTGAAGGTTTAGGACCAGAGTTTTCCTTCTCGATGGGCTTCCTTCCCCAGTTGACGATCCCATCTGCCCTTCACTTTCCTCTACAGTATGGGCAGAATCTGCCTTCTGGACTGTAGGATTCACTGTTCTTCTCCTCCTCTCCATCCACCAGGGCTTGACTTCAGGTGCAGCAGAATTCCCCAGCCCCCCAAGGATTTGAGACCTATCAGCTATCCTCACCTCGTTTTGCCGGCCGGTTGAAGCCATTCCTGGGATTGTGGCCCCTGATTCATCCTGACAGCTTCTGGAAGGCACAGGTGAGAGCTGAGTGCAGGGTGGGGACCACCAAAGGTACTACCGCTCCCATAACACCCCATGACATCAGATAATAGCTATATTTGAGACAGAACAGGAATAAATTCATGTCTCTAGAAATAACACAACTTCAGGCCATCAATAAATGAACACTACATATTCAAGGTTGAAGTTTTCACTAGTACAGTTATCCATTTGCCTTTAAAATGCAGCTTTTTCAGTGTCACTTTAGGATAGTCAGAAGACAGGCACGAGATCAGGCAGCACATCATTATGATAAGGGGCAATGGGGGTGGGTGTTTCCATCTGGGATTCCCATTTGCCAGCTGCTTTCCTTCTGCTTCTCCTGCTCTCTCCATGCAATGCAAGGCATGTAGATGGAGGTCCATCTCCAAGAACAGGAGCTTCCCTGAGCACCCATTCAGCTGACCCCAAGCACCAAGCCTTGTCACTAGTTCTCTGACTGACCCAGACCACAGTCCCTGGAAAAGACATAGACCTGGGCCTCACATAATGGCCCACATGGACCTCTTGAGGCCAATGGGACTGTGCAGGTGATTCAGGAAGATCTAGAGGTGGATGGAGGATTATGATGCAGAGGATGGGGAATGTCCAAAGGAATGATGAACCAGAGAAAGAGAGGCCCTGTTCATGGACAGAGAGCAGCTGCCTTTCCTGTGAGGAAACAATTGATTTGAAAAGGCTGTATTCCAAGATCATGCTGTGCTATTAACAATGTTTGAGGATTATGAAAGGTGGTGGTGCATTACTATCATTTGATGACATTGTATTTTCATTTCCAAAAAATTGGGAACATGGGTAGGACAGTGGAGAATGTAGGAGATGTTGAAATAAGAGAAGGTGCTAATGGAGCTTGATGTGTTCTCTTTCCCTTTGTTCTCTTCCTTGAAACCCAAACAGGATTTGCTTTCCTCCCACTCTGAAGAAGGTGATGGAGAAAACATTCAGAAATCCAGGGGATGGGGCACCTTTCATTTCATTAGGAATAGAAATTAAAATGTGTGAAATGTGGAATATGCTTCATTGAATGAGGACACATAGCTCACATCAATGACTCCGAGAGGAGAAGCCATTTAAAGGTATGGAGAGTGGGAAACATTTCACTGATAGTCGAAAACTTAGAACACATCAGCGGACTCACATGGGCAAGAAAGGATTCCAATGCAGGGAGTGTGGGAAGAACTTCAGTCAGAGAGGACTCCTCAATATACACCTGCGGACTCACACAGGGGAAAAACCATTTAAATGCATGGAGTGCGGAAAAAGCTTCCGTCAGAGTGGACACATAAGTGCACATCTACGGACTCACACGGGTGAAAAACCTTTTAAATGCATGGAATGTGGAAAAAGCTTCAGTCGGAGTGGACATTTAAGTTCACACCTACGGACTCACACGGGTGAAAAACCATATAAATGTATGGAGTGTGGAAAGAGCTTCAGTAAGAGTGGACACCTCAGTAAACATCACCAGACTCACACAGGGGAGAAACCATATGAATGCAGGGAGTGTGGGAAGAGCTTCAGTCAGAATGCAGACCTTAAATTACACCAGCGAACTCACACTGGTGAAAAACCATATAAATGTATGGAGTGTGGAAAGAGCTTCAGTCAGAGTGGACACCGCAATATGCATCAACGGACTCACACAGGGGAGAAACCATATAAATGTATAGAGTGCGGAAAGAGCTTTAGTGAAAATGGAGCCCTTAGAATACATCAACGGACTCACACAGGGGAAAAACCATTTAAATGTATGGAATGTGGAAAGAGCTTCAGTCAGAATGCAGACCTTAAAAAACATCAACGGATTCACACAGGGGAGAAACCATATAAATGTATGGAATGTGGAAAGAGCTTCAGTTTCGATGCAGGCCTTAGATCACATCAACAGACTCACACAGGGGAGAAACCATATGGATGTATGGAGTGTGGAAAGAGCTTCCATCAGATTGGAACACTTAGAATACATCAACGGACTCACACAGGGGAAAAACCATTTAAATGCATTGAGTGCGGAAAGAGCTTCAGTCGAAATGGATACCTTAGAACACATCAACGGACTCACACAGGGGAGAAACCATATAAATGTATGGAATGTGGAAAGAGCTTCAGTTACGATTCAGGCCTTAGATCACATCAACGGACTCACACAGGCAGGGGAAAACCATATGAATGTATGGCATGCGGGAAGAGCTTCAGTCAAAAAGGAGACCTTAAATTACACCAGCAGACTCACACAGGGAAGAATCCATTTTAATGCATTGAGTGCGGAAAGAGCTTCAGTCAGAATGGAGACCTTAAAACACATCAACGGATTCACACAGGGGAGAAACCATATAAATGTATGGAGTGTGGAAAGACCTTCAGTAAGAGTGGACACCTCAATATACATCAACGGACTCACACAGGGGAGAAACCATTTAAATGCATGAAGTGCGGAAAAAGCTTCAGTCAAAGTGGAAATCTTAGAAAACCTCAGCAGACACACAGGGAAGAAACCATTTAAATGTATGGAGTTCGGAAGGAGCTTCAGTCCGAGTGGAACCCTTGATTTACATCATCAAACTCCCACAAGAGACAAACCGTATAAACGTCAGGAAAGTATTTTGAGGCTCAGTCCTAGTGGAAGTCCTACATCAACAGACTCATGGACAGGAAGAAATTTAACAGTTGACAACCTACAAACCCATCAACCCTCAAAGAGGAGAAGCTGATTAAAGGGAAAGATTGCAGAAAGTGCTTTAGTTATAATGGAGTGTTTAAGGAACATCTAAGGACTCAGAGGGGAGAACCCATTTAGATGTATGGAGTGAGGAACATGTTCCTTTCAGAGTTTACTCTTCTTCACAGTAATTAACTCAGCAGAAAATCCATCTTAAAAGCATGTTGTGTATTTGAGGTTCTGCTGTTTATATGTAAAAGTGTATAGTAATGGACAGAGTGCCTGAAGAACTATGGGTGGAGGCTCGTAACATTATACAAGAGGCAGCAACTAAAACCATCCCAATGAAAAGGAAATGCAAGAAAGCAAAGTGGCTGTCCAGTGAGGCCTTACAAATAGCGGGGGAGAGAAGGCAAGCAAAATGCGAGGGAGATAGTGAAAGATACAGGAAATTGAATGCAGATTTCCAGAGAATAGCAAGGAGAGACAAGAAGGCCTTCCTAAACAAGCAATGCAAACAAATAGAGGAAAACAACAGAATGGGAAGAGCCAGAGATCTGTTCAAGAAAATTGGAGATATGAAAGGAACATTTCGTACAAAGATTTCCATAATAAAGGACAAAAGTGGAAAGGACCTAACAGAAGCAGAAGACATCAAGAAGAGGTGGCAAGAATACACAGAGGAACTATACCAGAAAGAAATGGGTGTCTCGTATACCCCAGGTAGTGTGCTTGCTGACCTTGAGCCAGACATCCTGGAAAGTGAAGTCAAATGGGCCTTAGAAAGCACTGCTAATAACAAGGCCAGTGGAAGTGATGGTATTCCAGCTGAACTATTTAAAATTTTAAAAGATGCTGCTGTTAAGGTGCTACACTCAATATGCCAGCAAATTTGGAAAACTCAGCAGTGGCCGGAGGATTGGAGAAGATCAGTCTACATCCCAATCCCAAAGAAGGGAAGTGCCAAAGAATGCTCCAACTACCGCACAATTGCACTCATTTCACACGCTAGCAAGGTTATGATTAAAATTCTACAAGGAAGGCTCAAGCAGTATGTGGACTGAGAACTCCCAGAAGTGCAAGCTGGATTTAGAAGAGGCAGAGGAACCAGAGACCAAATTGCAAACATGCGCTGGATTATGGAGAAAGCTAGAGAGTTCCAGAAAGACATCTACTTCTGCTTCATTGACTATGCAAAAGCCTTTGACTATGTTGACCACAGCAAACTATGGCAAGTTCTTAAAGAAATGGGAGTGCATCTGTCTCCTGAGAAATCTCTATGTGGGACAAGAAGCTACAGTTAGAACTGGATATGGAACAACTGATTGGTTCAAAATTGGGAAAGGAGTACAGCAAGGCTGTATATTGTCTCCCTGCTTATTTAACTTATATGCAGAATTCATCACGCGAAAGGCTGGGCTGGTTGAATCCCAAGCCGGAATTAAGATCACCGGAAGAAATATCAACAACCTCAGATATGCAGATGACACAACCTTGATGGCAGAAAGTGAGGAGGAATTAACCCCTGCTTGGCAGGGGGTTGGACTCGATGGCCCTTGTGGTCTATTCCAACTCTTTGATTCTATGATTCTTCTATGATTCTATAAAGAACCTTTTAATGAGGGTGAAAGAGGAGAGCGCAAAATATGGTCTGAAGCTCAACATCAAAAAAACGAAGATCATGGCCACTGGTCCCATCACCTGGCAAATAGAAGGGGAAGAAATGGAGGCAGTGAGAGATTTTACTTTCTTGGGCTCCATGATCACTGCAGATGGTGACAGCAGCCACGAAATTAAAAGACGCCTGCTTCTTGGGAGAAAGGCGATGGCAAACCTAGACAGCATCTTAAAAAGCAGAGACATCACCTTACCAACAAAGGTCTGTATAGTTAAAGCCATGGTTTTCCCAGTAGTGATGTATGGAAGTGAGAGCTGGACCATAAAGAAGGCTGATCGCCGAAGAATTGATGCTTTTGAATTATGGTGCTGGAGGAGACTCTTGAGAGTCCCATGGACTGCAAGAAGATCAAACGTATCCATTCTGAAGGAAATCAGCCCTGAGTGCTCACTGGAAGGACAGATCGTGAAGCTGAGGCTCCAATACTTTGGCCACCTCATGAGAAGAGAAGACTCCCTGAAAAAGACCCTGATGGGAAAGATGGAGGGCACAAGGAGAAGGGGACGACAGAGGACGAGATGGTTGGACAGTGTTCTTGAAGCTACCAGCATGAGTTTGACCAAACTGCGGGAGGCCGTGGAAGACAGAAGTGCCTGGCGTGCTCTGGTCCCTTGGGTCACAAAGAGTCGGACACGAATAAACGACTAAACAACAACATAGTAATGAAATAATGAAGGTAACATCTCACAATAGTGATTATAATTTTAGATGTAAGGTACCTTTTGATAGTGAGGGGGAGAGGGTGAATCTGGATTTCTGGTGGTGAATGAGGATTAGGGCTGGGCGATATATTGATCTCATCCTATACTGGTTTCTAGACTACATTGTGATAACCTTCCAAAAACAATGGATATGGCAACACACCAAGAATCCCAGTGTGTGTTTCTGGGATTCTCATTTGCCTGGAACCTGCCAGCAGAAAGCTTTGCTTCGTGAAGCCCCTGCAGATTTCGAGTTCCTGACTTCCCTCCCAGACGACAGGAAGCGAAAGACACACTTCCATTGCCCTGTGTCCTTCCAGCCTCTTTCCTCCCTTGCTCCCTTTTGCCGGTTTGTGTGCCTGACTTGGATATCCTGTGTGCTGTATGATTTTACTGCTGAAACTGGATTTGCTCTCAGGAGCCAAGTTTTGTGCCTCATTGGGGACCCAGTGAGAACTGTATGCTTTGAAAGCTCAGTAAACTATTACTGAAGAATTCCTGCTGCCTCTCTGTGTGTTTTTGACCTCAGTGTGGGACTTGCTCTGCACGTGGCCCCTACCCTGCTGCTACTTGGCCCATGCCCTGGAGTTGCTCTACTCAAGCATGCAAGACGGTTTTTGCACCAAACTCTGTCACCACCCCCCCACCGCATGATCTCCAAGCACTGCTTCTTCACCCAAACTTCATCCCTGCCTCCTAAGCATTCTGAAGAAAACTGATAATACTGTAAGTTAATGGGTGATTTCCCCCCAAGCCTAATTGCAAGAGGGGAACGGAGGGGTTGCAGGGACCAGGGAAGTCTCCTGATGGGCCCATCTTCACTCTTGAACCCCATGGGGCAACCCCAGAGCTCCTGCTTATTCTGGGGTTTGGGGAAGGTAGTATTTTTCCATAGTCCCAGAAGTTTTTATTCAGTCATGCTGCTAGGGAGTTTTCCTACCAGAGGACCACAGTTCATACTGCTATCATACTGATTTTACTGCTGTTTCTGCTTTTGCTGTCATGGAACAGGCTGGGTGCAGGGGGGGGAGGCACCAGTTGGGGGACCTACAAGGGAAGAAGGCTTAGATCCTGGGGACTTGTGGTGGGATGGCAGTGAGCAGATAGAGGGAGAAAGGGGAGCAGACCGGAAGGGGAGGTGTTGCAAGCTGAGGAGGAAACAGGGTTTGGTGAGCCAGAAGAGTCTGTGGCAGAGAGCAGTTCAGGCTCAGAGGGAGGAGAGGAGGGGGCCAGGAGACCCAGAGGAGGCCGGCTGCTGAAGCATCCAGGGAGACTCCCCCTCCTGCTGCGACCAGCTCCCCTCTCCCCTGGTCTCCCAGAGCACACAGAGAAATCCAATTCCATGAGCCTGTACATTATATTAATGGGCGTAGGGTTTTTTTTGTCCCAACATGCATCACTTTAATCTCATTGACAATGAGCTGTATTTTCTGCCCATTCACCCCATTTGGAGAGGTCCTTTTGGAGCTCCTTGCAATCTCTCTTTCTTGAACAACCCTGGACAATTTGCTTCGATCAGCAAACTTTGCCCCCTCCCTGCTCCCTCCTAACTCTAGATCATTTATGAACAAGTTGAAAAGCCACAGGTCCCAATACTGATCTTGAGGGGACTCCGCTTTCTGCTCCTCTCCATTCAGAGTACTGTCCCTTTCTTAGTACGTGTTCCCCCCTCCCTCCTTCCTTCTGCGCATGGAAGGGAACCCTGCAGAAAAGTTCTGGGGTGAATTTCGCTTCCCCACACATCCAACACTGCTCAGCATTCAGGGAAATGGAAGAGGAAAGCTGGCCACAATCCAAGAGACTGAGGTCAGCAGGAAGGGAAGCAAAGCCTACTCCAAGGGAAACCTCTTCAGCTTCCAGCCCGTCTGCTCCCACCATGGCTGAAGAAGAATTGCCATTTGGGAACGGCACAGCTGAATGGAATCCCCACAATCGCTCCTGCTGGAGGAATAGGGGCACTTAGCCCTATACTCAAAGGGGATGGCCAGTGATAAGGAAAATCCTGGGTTGAGAGGGCCCAGCTCGTTGGGGTGCAAGTCCCCCCATGAGTCTGTGAGGTCAGTGAAAGAAGGAAGTTCCAGACAAGTACAGTGGTACCTCGAATTACAAACTGCTCATGTTACAAACGCTTCATGTTACAAACTCCGCTAACCTTTTTTTTTTTTTTGCATTTTAAATTTTTATTAATATTCCATTATATATACATTATAACCGTATTTAATACATCTCATACATTTTGGACTTCCTTCAACGTCATTGACATTCATTCGTATTTGCTTCTTTATAACGCATTCCATTCGTTCATACTGCCATTCATACCTCCCTTCATACATTATTTCCAATAGGCAGTACTTATTAGTGCTTTACAGTGCCTCTTTAAA